ATCAACTTTCTGCATCCTTGTCATGGTAGACCACTGAGAGCTCAAATAGACAAAATGAATCAAGATTTAATGATCATTTTTTAGCATAATAGAGCATTATGTAAGGAGCAGGGAAAATACAAATCTCGACTGAAGTTACGGCTGTTTTTCTGTTGCAGCAAAATTAGAAGGCTCGAAATATCATCGATGGTATCTCTGTCTGCAAGCAACTCGATAGTAAAACTAAAACCCTTCAATAAAAAGCCGCTTTCACACGAAGTTAGGTGAAAACGATCCATGTAATTTCTAAGTGTTTTTTTAAAGGATAGGTATGGTGTTTGGACGTGGTTTTTTACAATTTTGGCAACATTCCGGGCGGTTTACTTACCCACAACACACCCGGAGATGTCATAAAACGATAGAAAATAAACAGTGCGCCGACTTGTTACGCAAAACTCTAAAGTGTTTACGTGACTCATTATCCTTTCCATCGATGCCGAATCTTTAGAACGACCCCGCGAAAAAGGATCAGAGATGTGAGAGCGAAAGCTATTCGTTCCAGCAGAATCTAATAGAATTTTAAAAATGTAGGCCAAAAAAAAAAAAAAAAAGAACTTAAGAGAATTTTAAACTCTCAGAAACATACTTTGGCCTGATATTATAAAGTTGAGTGAATGTTCCATTACAACCGAAGAATAATTAGTTGAATTTGTCTGGGCTTTCAATATTTTGAAATTGGGGCGAAATCGGCCGAGAAAACTAGGCCAGATTTAGTTTCTTTTTTTAAAGAAAAAAAACGACAACAAAAAAAAAACAAAAGCAGCTTAGGTACAAATACCTAGGTAAGTAATGTTTTTCCTTCATACAAAAATATTCAAGAAAATTTCGAGGATATAGATACTTCGATCAATTTTCTTGTAAACAAATGAACCTCAATCCGAATTTTTTCAATGTCACGATGGATATGCGCATTTTACGACTTTTATCTATCGAAAAAATGTTGGATACGGGCTACGAGTCGCATCGGACGAAAAGTTTGAAAGTTATTATACTTAAATTTCCTGTGCCTTTTTTTAAAAATCTACATTTAGGGTGTCTACTAAAACAGGCTGGCCAAAAATCAGTACTTTTACAGTACCTCTTCAATAGAAAAATTCAGTACATTTTCAGTACCTCCATTTGACGAAATTCGAAAAATTTCAAAAATTTGAATTTCTCGCTCAGAAATGAAAAAAATTTTGGACCTTTTTGCGGAATTTCCGCACTTTTTCGGTACTTCCGGACCGCCTTTAAAAAATAAATACTATTTCCGGACTTGCCAGAAATTCCGGACTTGTAGACACCCTGACATTTCATCGTTAATCTTAAAATTCAAAACTGACGATAAGTAACGCAAGCGCAGTCAGGCAACAATGCGCAGTACTGTTGCCAAGTTCTACGTTAAAACTTGACGTTTCTTTGATAGTTCGGGCTTTGGGCTAAAAATATGACGAATAAACTAGACAATTTTGGCTGTGAGTGACAATCGCACCCATTTCCGCGAGTTCGCGTGATAGAGCAATGTTATCAGGCAATGTGTATTATTCACTTCTGAGGTCTTCCCGGAAAACGCCGAAAAAATTAATACATCCTCGAAATCTCCGTCTTGGGACTGGTGAATTCTAAAGCGATTTGACAGTAATTCAAGAAAGTTCAGCGGGAAAACGTCAATTACGCCTGCTGGCATATTCAACGAATTTCGGAAGGGAGACTTGTTAGGCGCGCGTGATCATGAATTAATGCAGGTTCTGTATGGGTTAAAAAAAGGAAAGAAAAAATTCTTGAGGCTGCGGAAAAAAAGATTCTGTGAAAATTTTGGTCGTTGACGAACTACGTATAGGACACTATTTAAAGTGCGGATGCGCTGAAAAGTGGAAGGGTTAAATTTCACGGCAAATTCACACTCTGCAATCAGACTTGTTCGCAACTTTTAGGCGCTTCATAAAAAAATTTTCAGATCATAATTTTTGGCCATTTTTTCTATCTGAGTGAAAAAGAAATTTGACAAGAGTATGGTAAAAAATTGGGGGGGGGGCTCTGAATATTAAGGGAAAGTTTAGTTTTGTGGCTTCTTTAGAAGCATTGACATTCAAATTTGGACTTAAAACGAACAGGAAGAAAATTATAATACCTAAATTCATAAACGTCGATAATTTGAGACAGGCGAAAAGCTAAGATTTTCCTTCATTTTCACGTGATACCATAAATCTACTCCAGAGTTCGAATAGTTGCATGCTTGATTTCCGCATTTGACGATGCGAGGATAATACCTACATTCGTAGACGTCAGCAATTTGAAACGGGTGAAAAGCTAAGATTTTCCTTCATTTTCACGTGATATCAAATGAACACTCCAGAGTTTGAATAGTTGCGCGTTTGTCGTCCATTTTGACTAGTGCTGAATCATAAAACATTTTGTTGCAAATCCGAAACTTAAAAAAAAAAAAAAAAAATTTTCCAGCGGTTTCTTTAAGACATTAGGAATTATACGCGATATCCATCCTCGTACCGCGGCAAATACGTGTAAAAAGTACGCGTACATCACGTCGATATCGCGGCATGTTCGCGATTTTCCCGGTGGATTTGTAAAAAGCACGAAAAATTACGCGTTTTTCACCTCAATACTGTGTAGCGAATACGATATTTTTCCAGCGATTGTAAAGACATGGAGGACTACGCGTTTATCACCTGAACATCGCGGCATCCGTAGACGTCAATAATTTGAGTCAGGCGAACAGCTAAGATTTTCCTTCATTTTCGCATGATACCACATACCTACTCCGGAGATCGAACAGTTGCACGCTTGATTTTCGTATCTGGCAAAGCGAGCAGAACAGAATATTCTGAATATTGTTAAGTATGATTTATGGTACGGGTACAAAAAATTGTACACTGGGATGAAATGTGAGGAAGCAAAGTTTAAAAACTTTTAAAAAAAAAAACAAAAAAAAAACAGAACTTAGTTGAAATTAAAAAATTGTTTACAGTTATGTCGGACAGAAATTACTTAAAGTGGACATATTTAAATCAAAAGGAACTATATGCACTGTGACATGAGCCCTGACATGCATGTATTCTTATGGATCTCAGGGTTTATATCAGAATGGATGTAGTTTCTTTTGATTTAAATATGTCCAATTGCAATACAGTTAAGTACCATACAAATCTTAAAGTCATCTAGGTTTGAATAAAAAGAAAATCAGTACCCACACATAGACTTTCTTTCAAAATTCATTCAAATAAGATGAGAAGTACTCAAAAGAGTACATAGCAAGATTTTCATTCATTGTCCCTCTTACTTTAAAAAATGAAAAGGGTTCTTGATTGTTTATTTCAGTACTTGGCAATTACATAGGAGAGTTGAATTTCGATTTGAGATTTGCAGGGTTTTGTGATTTGTGTTTGCTTCTGTGATCAATGCTACTGGGCATTTGATACACCACCCTAGTGGCAGGGACTACACAAAATCACACACAAAATTAATAAACTTGTCAATTTTAATTAAAAAACTCTTAATAAAACTGTTAAAATTTAAAAAGAGGGAAACCCTTGGGGGAGATTTAATTAGTGTAAAATTTAGTAGAGGTGAAATCTAAGTGAAATAATTGTTAAATAAACTCTTAAAAACTCTTGAAAATAAAACACTGTATTTTTGACATTAATTTCACTTTACAAATTTTCTTTAAAAAATTCCAGTTTTTCTATATAGATCATAAACACTTTTTTTACTTAAATTTTGCCTCTCGTAAATTTTATGTACTTAAAAAAATCCCTAAAAGGATTCTCTTCTTCATAAATTTTAGCAGTTTTTTTTAGAGTTTCTTAAAAACCAATTTTAACAGCCCTTGCTGGTAGGGCAGCTTAAAGTGGTACTGCATATGAAATGCTCAGGCAAATCAATATAAGCCATTGAATTTGGTTACCCAATACTGCAATGCTAAGGAAGAACTCCGTATAAACCTTCGACAGTTTCCAAATTCAGCGAACAGAACATATATTTTTGGGGAAAGGTATGCTTATGCATACTTATGCATATATTTCCTTGAACTTTTCAGACATTTTAGATTAAATTGCAAATAAAATAGTCTGAAAAATCTAAAGAGAAATATTCCAACTTTGCCCAGTAAATTAGTATTTTGTTGAGAGAAATATAGCAACGTCTAAATGCTCATACAGCGTTCTTCCTTAGCACTGAAATACAACTATCAAATAAGTCAAGCGGTGTAGCCACTACGTAGTTGATGGTGAGGGTTTTTTTGGTATGAATTGGGAGTGCTCCATCAGTCACCGCTAAAGAGCACTAACTCCTATCATCAGCCACCGCTAAAGAGCTCTTACTCCGATCATCAGCAATTTGCCGTTGATATTGACAATTTGTAATTCAGGTTTTCCACTAATGGATCAGTGGACTTGTAGATAAGAATTTATTACTACGACTTAATCAGCTCTAATAACTGATTATCATTACCAAATCCACTAACCATGGATCTACCAGTCGTAACGTCGACATCCTCTGACCATTTAAACAGCATCAAAAGGTTATCTAGAGGTGCCTCTGATTTATATCCCTGATGATAAAAAACCCTTCGCTTATACCCACCTTGTTTACAGACGGTGTAAGTCAGCAATCACATAACTCAGTTTGTGATGTCGCAGACTTCCTGTCATACTTTATTTTTTAAACGGAAAACTACTCAACAGCATTTCTTCAAAACTGTCGTGATTTTTCTTCTCTGTGCAAAAAAAATTCTGCAAAAACCTCAAGGAATGATGGCAATTTGTACTCATTTAAAAAAATGACATAGTGGCGGAGATTTTCAGACACCGCAAACGAGATATGTGATTGCGGACTTACACCATCATTATAGCTGCACTGATCGTCAATGGTCAAAGCACTTAAACGGTCAACTATTAAGTGACATCTTACGAAGCTACTGAAGACAACTCAAAGACCTGGAACAAGTATTCTGTTCAGACAATTACCTGGTCAATCTGTATTCCGGTAAGCTGCGAGAGATTCTCAAAGAAGGCAACGACACCAAAAGGATCCCACATGTTCACTTTCGTGATAAGAGCTATCGCACGTGAAAACTAAACTCAGCACAGTGCTGAAACCACACAGTTAAAACCTCTGAGTATCAATGAAGGTTTCGTCGCAAAAAAATGAAGATATCACACACGCATTTCGAGTAAACACAAGATAAAGGGATGTGAATCATAGTCACGCCTCTGGGTCTGGGTTACAGGTTGTTGTCAGGACAACTAGTATCTAGAACATTTCTACGATGTCCTCTTTGCCGCGCACAAATTATGAAGAGTACTTGAAAGTTAAAATAGAATGATAACGCGAGCGGTTTACGCTAGACAAGAAAGCCGCACGGTTTTCACAACCACGAGTGAGAAAACGCAAAAGTTAACTGACAAAATTCGAATAACCGACAGACGAGACAGCGTGGACAGCGAGACACAACAGAACGTACCATGAATCACAATTCCAGGAGGGGGTAAACGAAGGAATGCAGAAGGGAATGCGAGGCGCCACCAGCGGTAGGCGGGTGCGGCGCGTAGTTTAACGAACTCTACTGGATTTTTTAAGAAGCATGACTAACGTCAACTTACGGATAGTACCTGCAGAGTGCAGTGGCATTCGCGGCATTTTTACGCGGTTTATTTGAATTTTTTTCCTGCTACGTTTAAGACTTTTTCTCTACTGCGCTGATTAATGAATGTACCTTGTATATCTCCGTTTGCAACGACGCAGACTTCCTGTCGCATAATTTAATCGACGTATGCGAAAACGTCCGTTGTCCATTATAGGATTTCAAAATTGCGGTGGGTTTCTTTCGTCCCACGACACTGATGAAGAGGATCGATCTCTTTTGTAAACATTTAATTACACTTAGGGGATTATTTAAAAAATTGTTCAACATTCTTAACGTCTTAAACCTTTTTGTGTCGTTAAGTTACAACGAAATTGTCCACTCAAATTCTGAAATACTATCTTCGACATCAGACGTTTTCGCATACGTTGATTTAATTAATTTCTTTATTTGAAAACCACTCAACGTCAATTCTTGGAAACTTCCATATTTCTTCTCCTCAATGCAAGGAAACTTCCTACATACTTAAAACTTAAATTCTCCATGATTTTTCGTATTCGATAGCAGAAGATTCGGTTCAAAATTTAAAGTCGTAAATCTGGATTGTTTCTCATGGAAGAGAGGAAATAAGAACGGATATTTTGAAACACCGCAATGGAGATACGTGGTTTCGCACTTCAGTCGGTGTGATACGGACATCCATCAAGTTTAAATAGTTGCATCAAGTCCCCGTCACCGCCGACCAATGCGTCTGTCGATCGAATCAACTACAAGTAGTAGGAGCAGGGAGTCAAAACGCCTTCAATTTTTTGAACGCAATACGGACATCCGTCGAGGTTGTATAGTTGTATCAAGGCGCCGTAGCAAACGCAACCCATTGTTTCCCTTTACAGACGAATATAAGTTGAGAGAGGAAAGTCATAATGTCTTCATTTTATACATACATATTCTATCGATATTCGATATATCGTTTGATTTAAAGGAGTATTGACTGGGATAAAAGGTGATTTCTCCTCATTAACCAGTATAAAAGGTAGGAATATTACCTATATAGGATAGTCTTGGAAAAAACGGGATGTACCGATATTAATAAACCGGGATAACAGGAAGGATATCGATCTTTGTGTATCGATCTTCGATACATCGTTTGTTCTAAAGCAGTATTGACTGGGATAAAACGGGATTTCTTCATAATAACCGGGATAAAAGGGAGGAATTTTATCTATACAGGAGAGTCATGGATAAAATGGGATGTAACTATATTAAGAAACCGAGATAACAGGAAGGATATCGATCTTTGTGTATCGATCTTCGATACATCGTTTGTTCTAAAGCACTTATTGACTGGGATAAAGCGGGATTTCTTCATAGTGACCGGGATAATATGCAGCAATTTTACCTATACAGGATAGTCATGGATAAAATGGGATGTAACTATGTTAAGAAACCGGGATAACAGGAAGGATATCGATCTTTGAATACCGATCTTCGATATATCGTTTGATTGAAAGCAAAACTTCATAGGATAATATTGATGTTTTCTCCTAAAAAAAAAAATGTACCAGGGATCTTGAAACACTGCAAACAACATGTGCGATCTGGGAGTTACATCATCCATATCTGGGTTTCCGATGTTGCAGACTTCCTGTCAGACTTTATTCTTTATTAAAATGGAAAAATACTTGACGTCATTTTTTGAGAACTTTCCTCTTTATGTGAAGAATATTCTGTAAGAACTTCAAGCAATAGCGTTGGTTTGTCTTCTTTTGATAGAATAAAATGCAGTAGCATGGCGTGAATTGCAATGTATCGATTGTTATGCCATTTTAACCTACGGTAAAGAATCGATTATTAAGGTGTTTGCTGCAAATACCCTGTTTATTGATCGATTTCCATAGTTTTAAATGGCATAACAATCGATACATCACGATTCACGCCTCTCCACTGATAAAATGGGAGCGGAAATTTTGTAACACAACAAACAAGAAACGCGTTCCCACAGTTTCACGGTTAACATTAATAAAAACTTCTAAATAGATACATTTAAAGTTCATTTATTAACAAAAAAACTATTGTACAAAATTTAAAAAAGTCAAGTTAATTCCAAAGATTTTACACAATCTTTTAGATCATTAAAGATAAGATTCTACATTACAATTAACAGAGTTTTAAAGGTTCAGTATTTCATTGTAACTTTATCAAAATGAAATTGAACAACTGGCAAATATCTACAATAAATATAAATCTTAGGAACTTAACTGTACAATATTTACATAATTATATTTTACAAAAACTAATACATGCTACAGCTATGGGAGCAAATAATAATAAAAGCGGTATCATGATGTTTCCTTTAGAGACAAATTAAAGNATATTCCCCATTCATTCTTATGGCCCGACCACTAACGAGCACACCCCATCTTTCCACTTCCACATATCTCCTTTTCGCATAAATACGTCCAAATATAAATCTTAGGAACTTAACTGTACAATATTTACATAATTATATTTTACAAAAACTAATACATGCTACAGCTATGGGAGCAAATAATAATAAAAGCGGTATCATGATGTTTCCTTTAGAGACAAATTAAAGTAATGGATGAAAAACTTCCTAGATTCTTCAATCTGCCACCATTGTTTCCACAAGATAACACAATTTTTATATCCATCTTCATTTTTCAATTGAAAAGATTTGCTTGAATTGAAATGGGACAGTAAAGATGGGATTTTAGTCAATGTTTGTAAAGGTAGTACAGTATCTTCTGCATACTTTATTCAGATGAAAAATATTACCAATGGCTGAATGCAAACATGCAAGCCTCGATTTTAACAATACAAATCTCTGATTGAAAATATTAATTATGTTAGTTTCACAAAATTACATTACTTACAAGTTTTGTAATTTTTCTTTAAAATTATCCGTCTCTAAAAATTTGCCATTGAGAGCAGTTTCTCACTCTGTACATTGCTTGATCCAGCTTAGACTGAATTGAAAATATTTATGCTTGGGTTTTAAATAAAAGTTGGTTTCTGATATACACGCTCAAAAAATTGTTGACTGCTTATGGTTAGGTTATTAAGAACCTACAATATTGAGCGCCCCTCTTTATAAATTCGTTGTAAAAGACCAGAGGGCGACCAAAAAAAGTTTGTACATTGCAGTGGTTATTTTAAACAACTTGTAATGGGAGAAAACTGAGCAAGATAAAATTCTTAAATTCCTTAGAGTGTTCCATTAAATTGATGTTGATGCAGTAAAAAAAGGAGTTGCAAATTTCGTCCAATAGCTCTACTTCCAAACTAGTTTTAAATAAAATTTTCAGTAACTTCCCCTTCAAGAATAAAAAAAGCTTTGAGTGTTGCCAAACACTATCTGTTTGAACCCTTTCAATACATGAAAGAATCACACAAATAATTTTGCACTGTCTTTTCAGAAAGATGAACACGTCTTTCAAAAGCATGAAATTATTCATATAATGAATAGTTGTTAACTCTCGTTCCATTCTTTGATTTCATTTCAGTGTATTTGCATTTGGTTTGTTATGAATGGTTACAACTAGAGACGCAAAATTTAAACTTAATCAAATAAAATTTCATACTTCATGAAATTTCGTGAATTTTTTAAAACTTCTACAATGGATTCAATATACCATGAAACGTATAAAACAGTAAAATCTTAATTTTGACATTTTGAAAAAGTCAAATTCCGAAGTTTCTTCTTAAAGTCTCGGATGCAGCCTCTGAAAAAACATTGAAATTTTATGGAAAATGAAATTTCATTTTGCATCTCTGGTTCTTTCATCATTTTCTATGGAAGAGATTCAAGGAGTCTAAGCAACAGATTGATCATCAGCTTTACAGACAGTCGTTATCTGCACAAAATCTTCACTTGTATCCCGAGGCTTGGTTGATTGCTATAATTCCGTTGTTTCAAGCTTTTTCGTTATCAACGGGTTGCCAAGTTTCTCTAGATGATGGTACAGATTCTGGTGGTAGAGACTGCTACTTTTGGTGTTGAGGTCGTTTTGATCCTTAATACTGACTGAATCACGGACTTGAATAATGTTTGACCGGCTAGAAAACAGAAGGAGATATTTAAAATTAAAGATCATCTTAGTTTTTGGTCCTTTGCTTTAAGGTCCAATACTGAGCGTTTGCTCGTGCGTACACCATGCTGCAGCACAGTAAAAGCACGAAATATAAAAGAAAAAATTAAAGTGCTTTGAAAGTCGTTTTTGACACGGAACCACCTTAATATTTAAAAAACACACATTGTATTTTCCTTTCATACATATTTGTTTTTCCATCAATTTAAATGAGAATAATCCATGCAGAGTGTGCAAAAATTTCAAAATCATGGGTTGAAAAACGCTGACTCCGTGAGTTTAAATATTAAAGCCTCACACAGAGCCGAGTGGCGCGCGGCATGCTACCAGCGCGAAAAGCGCACTGGCGCCTACAAACCTAAGGGGATACTTCACGCATTGCACGACGCTTGAAGTATCCCCTTAGGTTTGTAGGCGCTGGCCGGCCGCCCGCCGCGCCGCAGCGTGCCACGCGCCACGGCGCCTGAAGCAACTATTTCACAACAGAGGTGTTGCACAGTATCATACGAAATTGAAGACACTCCAACATATTAAGAATGACAGGTATCCTTCAAGAGTACGGAGCTTTCCTTGCAAAATAAATCAAGATACTACGGCGCAAAGAGAGAGTGGTAGTCCAAAATCTCACTAAGTCCTAGTATCCGTATTCAATAACGTTTAGCATAATTTTTGGATTTCGTTAGAGAAAAAAGTGACTAGATTCAGGTAGAAACATTCTTGAGTATGCCGTCAAGAAGATTTTATTTTGAATCAAGAATAAAATTGCTGAATGAAAGCAGGTTTCTGCTTGATGTAATTGATTTTTCTTCTTGCACCATCATCTTTTCTGCTTTGAAAAGCATTACTTTCTTTATTGATTCAAAAGGAAATCTTCTCAGCAGTAAATTTGATCACATTTCTGTTTGAATCAAGTCACTTTTTCTTCTAATGAAGTAAAAAATCATGCTAAACGTTATTGAATGTGGATACTAGGACTCATTAAGTTTTTCGACTACCGCTCTCTTTTTGTCGTCATCACTCGATTTAATTTAAGAGGGAACTTCATGCTTTTGAAAGATGCCATCATCAAGATAACTTTAACTGTATTCCTCACCAATAAATAAAGATGTGTACGCAAAATCAAACAAAGTCAACCAAGTGTCAATATCAGATAGAATATTCAAATCCGTATGGATTTATCAGTGCCTTCAATCTCGTATGACAGTGTACAACACCTCTTTGGCAAAATAGTGGCTCAAAGAGCCATTTTACACTAGCGCTGTCTCAGTTATCGTACACAGGACAAATCTAAGAAGCTTTGGCTAAGATAAGTCAAAAGGTTTATCCGGTTCAGGTATAACAAGATGAGATTTTCTTGAAAGATAATCAAGTCCTGTTGCACCAAAGAGGTGTAGAGAGTTTATATGAATTTTCCCTCATGGAATTAACGCTTCCCCATTTTTACTAAGAATTTCAATTATATTTTCCTCTACGTTGGACCAAACAAACAAAAAAAAAACAAGCAAACCCTCATTCTTCCCAAACACAATACATTTTTATCCAAAAACGTTGTGAGCAATTGTCGTTTTTATTTATATGTGAACTAATTAACTTTGGGTCTCAATTGTTAGGCAGATCAAAACTACCCTGCTGAAAAACGGGTGGACATAAACTACTGGAAAAAACAGGTGCGCAGACAAAAAATTGTTGACGAAATGTCCTATGACCAACGTGATGTGGAATAGTATTATGAACCCACGGAGACTTGATGGTAAACATTATAAAACAAAAAATGTAACATCGAAGTCTGCAGAATAATCTTATTTCCCCAAATTTTTTTTCAGTTATTTAAATTTTTTTTTTTTAAAAATCATTTGAGAAATATTGTCCCTTTTCACAAATTTAGCAGAAATCAATTTGAGGATCCAGAAATTATGCAGAAGCCAATCACTCCTTGAAATCTGGTGTCTTATCCTTACAGCCTTACTATACTTAGTCTTCAATTTTAATTCTCACTGACAACCCTCGAATGTTCAGTTTCCTGATCAAGATAAAATTTTCCTTAATGTTTGTAGATTTTCTTCTTATTTATTACACTCAGTTTATTTAGGAATGAAGCACTTCCTACATCCTTGCGTTAATTTAATCATGCAGCGACTGAAAGTAAAAAAATTCTTCCGCAGACATACCTGTTGCAAGACGATCCACCGGTGTCAACATCGTGATTGACAACGCTCACAATGTTCTCGTCTAATGAGTCTCGTTCTGATGCTTGGCTGAAATCATTGACACAACCCAAATTAGAAAGTTTTAAGATTTGATGAAGTGACTGTGGAATTTTTATACATTCAAAAGGGGAAAAAGTTACAGTGATATTTGCATTGAGACATGACTTCTTAAATTTATTACAGTGAAAATGAAAAGATAAGAAACCAAACTTGAAGTGTTACACATTCTGTCAAAGAGATTATGTGGAAAAAAGTGATCAGACATGTACCAACCATATAATACCAAAATAATGTATTTTAGTTTACAACGTTGCTGCTTTTCTGGTGCATTTTATGTACTTTGGTGAAGGATAACTGATTATCCGTCTACCAGAAAATTTCCTGTGAGTTTTCTCTGTCTCTTCTAGAATATTCGCTGAAAATTTTGGACAAAAATGTCTTACAATATTCTTTCAGAAAAAAATATGATCAAAAATTTTGAAACACTGTTATCAAGAAGTGTAGAAGATTTTTTGAGCTTCCATCATTGATATATAAAACGGAGGCAAAGTCAAGAAAAGGGTTTAGGAAAATTGGACTTTCATAGCTTTCCATTTTCCCTACAAAGAAGTAATTAACAGTTTTTACTGCCCCCTTCCCCCAACATTGAAGAATTTCTTGTTCAGGTATCGATGTAAAACTATTGAAAGCAATTTAAAAATTTACTATGATTACACAAGGAGAAATTCAAATCCCTCGATTGGAAAATCAAAATTTACCTCCCAGAGTCGTCTTCTTTGTACCATTCATTTTCATATGCTTGCATCCATATCGGGTTGGAGCCTTCTACACTGTGTTTGTTTGTGTTAGGAACTCGACCTGTGTTCGTCACTCTTGTCATGTCCGAATCAGTAGAACCTGTGGTTGGAAAGAAAAAAACATGTCATTCACAATTTTGAAATGAGAAAATGACCCAAAAGGTTTTGAAACCTTGATCATCAGTCTACTACGCAAAGATTTTAAACACTATAGATTGAGAACGAAAAGGTAGCCTTGGAAGGATTCTACTTTTTTCCGTGCTGATACAAAATTTCCCCCCTTCCCCCTTCCATTGCATTAAATAACTGCATTAATTTATATTCAACATGAGAAAATTTTACAGATGTGGGGTAAGGAGGTGCGATTATAATTTCATTTCTCACAAATTCATTATCATTCAATTCATTGTCACTTCCCTATAGTCTGAACTTCAGATGACCTCTGTAAAGCTTGTCGGGGCTCTATGAGTTTGATAAACCTTTGGAAGTTCAGAAAAATTTTTCAAGAATCTATGAAATTTTATTTCATTCTGAATTTTTCTTTTAATTCCATCCAGCCTGTTACAAATTTAAATAGTACAGTTGAAGGAAATGCAAAAAACAAAATCCCCAAAAGTAGAGCTTACAGGAGAGATCAGTAAACCAAACTTACTAAATGCAGTGACGGTTGCAGCCTTGAGTTGCCTCCGATAGCGTGCGCGCTGAGCAAGGCAAAGACATACAATGACTAGGAGCAATAAACTTAAAAATATAGTGGTTCCTATCAGCCAAACCGTTGCAACATTATCTGATGTTCCAGCAGTTCTCACCAGTTCTGCCGCTTGCGTGTCCAGAACATTGAAATCCTAGGAATAAAAGACAACAGAGGTTCAAGTCATGAGTAAAAAAAAAAGCAAGAGAAAATCTGCAAATGTGAATTAAGGTGATTCATCATATTCCGACGCATGCTTGTTCCTATTACCTCCATTTTTTCCCATGATGATGCATCCAGGGTGTCTACTAAAACAGGCTGGCCAAAAATCAGTACTTTTAAAGTACTTTTTCAGTACATTCCCGAGAAATTCAGTACCTCCTCAACGGAAAAATTCAGTACATTTTCTGTACCTCCTTTAGACAGAATTCGAGAAATATCAAAAATTTGAATTTCTCTCTCAAATTGCGACAAAAATGAAAAATTCCGGACCTTCTGACGGAATTTCCGCACTTTTTAAGTACTTCCGAACCGCCCTTAATAAATCAGTACTATTTCTGGACTTTCCAGAAATTCCTGACTTGTAGACACCCTGTGCATCAATATCAAACCCTAAGTCAATCATTTTGTATTACAGTAAATTGGGAAGAATCCCTAATCCTTGAAATGTCACTTTTTCTTCATCAAATTGATGGTTAAATGCAAAATCTGCGTCTCCATGCTGCAACATTTTTATGGGGGTGTATGGGTGGATTGTGTTATTTGACCGGAAAAACCTTGTTATCAGACACAGCGGGGAAAACTTTTTAAGCACACATTACATAGTTCCCTACTCCTTCATAGCTGTTGAATTCAAAAATGAATTTCGTTCTTTACCTGCATCCACCAATTTGGCGTATAATGAAAGTACCATCAGAATAGTCGATTTTTTAAGGAAAATTGGTGGCTGTATAGGGATAAAACAAAGATAATTTTTGGAAACAATGCCAGAAATTAGATAGGTATCATCTATCGAATCCTCTGCAGTTTTTTCCGGGTAGACTTGTGTTATGACTTAGAAAATGACTGAACTGATCCAAAGAAAATTCAATTACTTTAGGCAAAGAAAGAGTAAAGTTACCCATCTTTTGCAAATTTCATTTAGTGAGATTACAATTTCAGCAAACCTTAAATAAGGAGTCCAACTTTTCGATGTTGAGATCAATTAAGTGGAGAACTTGTTCAACCTCAAGGACGGAGTTATCCTTGCGGCTAACAAAATGCAGGTACATATCAGAGCGAGTTTTGTCCACTCTTCCATCTGAAGTTTCATGAATTTTGTACTCGTCAACATTAACAATCGCTCCAGTGACATTGCCCAGAACTCTGTAAAATGCAGAAAAATAAACTGGGTTAAAAATTAATCCTAAAAAACATATTGATTTCTAATTCAAAACATTTTCAAAACATGTAATTTCATTCAAAGGACGCTTGAAGCATATGAACATTTGAAATACATGAAAAACATGTTCAGTCCAAATCAATTGTTTGTTAGTAATTTACGGGAGATACTCCATCATCATAATTGTATGATTTCAGGGTACTTTAGTTCAAAATGTCAAAATCTGTCTAATAGAACATCACAGCCATCGGTGATTGTTTTTGTAAAACAGAAAAACTCGTCATCATGGGAAAAACTTACTTCAGGAAAAAGCACATTGATATTTGGAGAAAAATTGCGTAAGGCCATTAAAATCCATCTGATGTTTTCAATTAGTCTAATATTACAAGAGCATTCTTAGGAATAGTGCATATAGACTTGAAAAAACACTTTAATACGGAGAGACCTCTTTAGTCCAATAAATGGGTCATGACTGAGTTATTGCACTGCTTAATAAAGACCACGTTGAGTCTGGAAGATTTACAGTATCACACATCTGAAGATTACGATTTAACTTACTCTCTGAAAATGTGAATTTTATCCCTCAGTTCGGAGGGTTGCTGCCGAAGTACAAATCTGACTCGCTGATCCTCGCGGAGAAGATAGATGAAAACTTGAGCTGTGTCTTTTAAGCCACTAATGTCTGTTGCTGCAACCTGAAAAATAATTGAAAATTTTAACACCAGACAAAAAATTTCCCTCCTTTCCCAAGTGGCATTTCTCAATGGAAAAATCGGCATATATTGCGATAAAATCGCCAGGATCATCAACATCTGAGCAATTATCCTCGATATTATCGCAATAAAGTCGCGTTTTTATCGCCAGACAATTTATTGCGATATTTTTGAAATAAAAATCGCGATAAATGGCGATTTAATCTCGATTTTATCGACGGTTGATCACGATTTTATCGAACCAAAAATTGGGATTTGTCGCGATTTAATTGCCATATGTCGCAATTTATAATGCGATAATATCTTAATATATTGCCACCAATATAATCACGATAACCAACCGATAAAATCGCTATTTATTGCGATCACTGCTACTTGGGTTTCTTGACAAAGTTACAAGTCATAGAAAATTTTACACAAGGACTCCCATGCTTGTCATTGAGACCTGTTGAAAGCAGTTTTACAAGCGATACAATAGTTATCATAGAGGAAAAATTACTTTGAAGAAGCTCATTTATTACTTTCTGTGCTTCACATCATCGGAAGGATACTCATCCTTTGTTCACCTTATTATTAGATTTTGAGGAGCTTATTTTGACAAATTATGGAACTGGGTTACAATTTTTTACTCTCATTAAATCATTTTGGAATTTGACAGTTCATTGCATTGGCAATGAGTTCCATGTATAGATTGGACTGTATTTGGCAATTTGGAATTACATTATCTGGCTTACAATTAGTTTAATAACGACTTTTCTACCATTAGTTTCCCTATGCACATGAGTGTTTAAACGGGAGAATTAGAAATTGTAGTTCCCAATAGCAAAATGTAGTCCAAATGTGGCATAGCGATGAATATTACAGAATTATTGAAGAGCACTTCATTCTAAAAGAGACATTTTTTAGAAACAGTTCATGATTTCAGATAAACTTCCTGATCTCGGAATGTTTATTTTTTGTTATAATTTGTTTGTTCTGTCCATTAGGTATGTAAAATAAGGTTTGTTCAGTAAATAACATAAAATTACCGTGAAATCAAAGTATCCCTTCATTCCTTTTTGCGGATCAAAATTCAAAACAACGCCTCCAGTTGTAGGGTCAACCAAAAACGGAGTCATTTGCGGAACAATGTCAAGCCCTTCCGTTAAGGTCATTTCAACTCCACCATGCAAACTATATTCAATTTTTGCATTTAAACCGCTGTCTAAATCAATAGCCTGGAACAAAAAAAGATCAGATAATGAAAATTCAACTCTTCACTAAAAATTAGTCTTGTAGAGAGTGCAGAGCCAGAGATAAAAAATAAATAAGACTTAAAGAAAAGGATCTCACTCAAGTATACTACAACTCGAATTTTGACATTTTACAGGAAAGCAACTCTCCGTTCCTGTTGCTCAATTTTCATTAAAAGGCATGATCCAGTGCATGAGTTTTTTTACAAGGAAAAATTTTTAGGATACCCTTAAGTAACATGAAAGCAGTTCAATTCAGTTCTAAGTTAAATAAAATAGATAATTCAATTCTATAAAGATGATATCCAAACGGCTTGGAAATTGACTTCAGCTAACATTTTTTTAGAGATCAAACGTTTAAACTTAAAAATACAAACTACTATCACTTCTTCATAGATTGATGTACTTTGGAAAACATCATCAGTAAAACTATCCTTTGTTAAGAGTACACATTGATGATTAAATGAGAAAAATGCCTAACTATACTGCGACGTTTTAAGATTTCCTATCATATTTTATTTTCATAACGGGACACTGATCAAAACATTTCTGTACAGTTTTGTATGATTTTTTTTAAATAAGTGAAGATTATTCACTGAAATTTTAATGGAAACTGTTGGTTGGTTTCCTTAAAAAAAAAAGACGTTATGGGGGACTTACAGTCTCGCAATCTCAGATACACATTTTTCAACTTCAGCCATCATACGTTCCTTTCTCCAGTTTCTACAGACTCATTTTTGACAAATGGGCGATAAATATTGTAATTACTGACCTGAACCTGCATAAACTCTGTTCCGAAGTCTGTCTCTGTGGTTATCCCACCAGTAAAAACAGGAGAGATGAATTTCGGAGGGTTATCGTTGATATCAAGGACATTTATCACAACTCTCAGGGTTGTATCATCATGAGGGTCAAAGAATTCCACCTTCTTCATCGGTGCGTGGGTACAGTCCTCCAGAGCTTTGATTATCAGAACGTGGGAGTCAGCCACTTCCCTGTCTAGTTCTCGCACAACCTAAAAGAATGAGAGAGAATACATCTAAACCATGTAGACCAAACCCTTGATAACTTACGTTATTAAAACTAATTATCAGTTATTGATATTTTATGAATGAGGCAAAAAAAAAAATATAGTAATAAAGAATTTGAACAGATGTATCAATGCTAAACCGAACCACAAATGAATAAAATAAAATGGACCTAAATGCATAAAATTTGCTTGTTTCATAGTTTTTTTATTTTATTTTTTTTTTAAATTTATTTATTAAACTCATTTGTACATGGTTTCTTTTCAAATTAATAAGTCCATGTTAGAGTCAATTCCAAAAGGGCAGTGATCAATAATAAGAAACACACTTTTTCTCAAAAGCAGAGGTCTTGCCATTGAGAAAGATTGACAGAAATCCAAGTTGATCCTCACAGAACATCTTTCGAGTCAACATTTTAATTTGAATGATTTATGTTGATAGCAAAACTTCCAAAACATATATCTTGTTGGCGAAGTTTAAAAATCTCTGCTCCTCTTTTTTTTTTTAAAGGAGGACAAATTGGACATTATTTCTTGGAAATTTTTCCGAATCTGCTTCTCATATGAAAGAAAAATCGCAGAAGCTTTTAAAAATTGACATTGAGTTGTTCTACATTTAAGAAATGCAGTACTTCCTGCATGCTTCCTGTAATTTTAAAAATAACAGGAAGTCTGCGACGTCGCAAACCGAGATATGCGCTTTGAGAGTGAGAGTTTCACTGTCAATATGTTACATATTTTATAATTTCTTTGTTAAGCAAGAAGATTGGAGTGGTCTGAGTGTGATTACTCCATGGCTATATGATTCCTTGCTGTATATATTGATAGCTGATGTCGAAAAATGTGCATATCTGATTGCAATGTTGTTGAGTCTAATCTTCTGTTTTATTTTTTTAAAAGAACATCGACCAATAAATTTTCACAAGACTTTCTATACATTCTTTCCATTCCTTCAATAATACTCAGAGAATCTTCTACATAAAAAAATACTTTAGTCAGCTCTCTTTCATTAAAATAAAACATACTTGGAGATTTTTTTAAACGTTACGATGAATATACACATTTTTCGATCTTAGCCATCAATCTACCGGTGCACCACAGTAAATTGGGCAAATTTTGACACTGCATGCTTCAAATTAACTCATACATCAAAATAGTTGAAAAATCATGAACTCTGATTACAAACCGTAATTTGATGACTTAGAGGCTCAAGGTTGAAATATCCGTCATCGTTTCCGGCTACAATGTAGTAACAGATCGGCATCGAGGCTGCTGCCACTTCATCCATTTCATCCCGATCCCTGTCCACTGTGTCTACAAGTTTAACTCGTTCTGAACCAGGTTTCTCATGCTCTACAGACAAAGATAAAACAAATTTGATACAATGAGAATAATAATTTTGTAGATGCAGATTTGAAATAAGTTGTTGAGGTGACTTTTTTCTGCAGACTTAAAAAAATTCAGGAAAAATTATATGCTTATTTGCGGTTGGTTGAACTTATTTTTGCAAAACGCTCTGCTTCAATGACACTGAGTACAAATTGCATTTTGTCATTCATTATTCACAAATGACTTAATTTGAGTATTGGTCAGAATCTTCCTCTTTTTAGAAAATTTCCAATTCAATAATTTCAAAATTTCAATTATTTTTTTTTTTTAATTTAAAGAAAATGATGAAACATGAAAAATTTTCAACCGTAAATAGATACAGTTTTCTTCGAAGGATATTTTTAGTAGAATTTCGCCAAAGAAAATTTTAAATTCAAGGTACAAGCTTATTTTCAGTAGACATGCCTTTTATTTTGGCAGAAAAATGTTGGATACTAAGGATTTCAAAATTTTTACAATCACACAATACAAATTCATTGCTAAGAGCTAAAACAAGAGAAACAATTACCAGTAAAATTGATAGTAAATTCATCAATCAAGAACTGCGGCTGATGATCGTTCACACTGCGAACGTAGACAACCAAATCCAGATCTGCAGTCAGTGGAGTTGGCAAACCCAAATCATATGCCTCAACTCTGATCTGGTATATCTTCTGTTTCTCTCGGTTCAACTGCAGTCTCAGTGTGATTTGGCCTGTGGTGTCGTTTATGGAAAAGGTCCGATAGTCGCCTGACAGATCGTGCTTCAATCGATACCGCACTTCAGCGTTAAGCCCAACATCATCATCTGTCGCCTCTACTCTTATCACAGAGCTGCCTTCAGTTGCATTCTCTGGTATGCGGATTGTGATGTTGTGCGATGGGGACACAAACCGCGGTGCATGGTCATTGAAGTCCGAGACACAGATTTTCAGATCAGTCATTGCGACGTTAGATGGAGTGCCCAAATCTTGGATACGGATGACCAGCGTATAGTTGCCATAGCGACCTTTCAATGAACTGCGGCTCATGATTTTGCTTGTGAACTGATCTACTTTCTCCAAACCAAATAATCCTGAAAAAAGGAAAACAATTACAGTGGAATTCAAAGAAATTTTCAAAATTTATTTTATTAATATGAGTTTGCACACCTTCGAATCATGAATAAATGGACTGCATTTTGCAATTTGGAACTATAAATTTTGGCTCCCTTGGAAAAACACTTATGTGCATAGGGAAGCTAATGGCACATATGTTGTTTTTGAACAAGACTAGAATTTATAGTTCCTAATTGCAAAAATGCAGTCCAAATAGCAGTTATAATTAATTAAGAGTTTAATCTTGCTGGCTAAGTATGAAAATGTGTATTTCGAGTGCAACATTTAAAAATCTCTGATTAAGTTTCATTTTGTTGAGGGAAAACTAGTTGAAGTGTTTCTGTGCTAATTTGTATTTTTTAGGAATGAGCAAGGACAAGTTACAGAAAATTTCTTTAGAAACTGTTACTTAGTTTATTATGAAAAAAATAAAACATGAACGGAGACTTATAGTGTCGAAATCTGAGATATTAACAATGAAACTACCAGACTACGTATCTCGTTGGCGGTGTTTAAAAATCTCCGGTCCCATTGCATTTTTGTAGGGGGGAACAAATCAATATCATTCTTTGAAGTTTCCATACATTACTCTTCACGCGGAGAGAAAAATATCTAGGCATTTTTCAAGAATTGATGTTAAGTAGTTTTCCATCTAAAAAATAAAGGAGGACAGGAAGTTTACAACGTCGCAAACCGAGGAACGTGGTCTGGTATTTTCACCATCAATACGATTTTTTCTATTTTGGCAATCGATCTCTTTTTGTTTTTTTTTTTTCAAAGAAATGACTTGTCTTACTTGATGGTAAGTCTCTCTATAATTGAAATCAAGTTTCCTTGCAGCGTAAAAAACTACTGCTAAAATGTCCTTTCATTGTTGCTACTTTGAAACAAAAAGTTCTGACTGAAATTGACATAGGTATAATGGTTTTCCATTTCATTATTATGTTTTGGCAATTATGTTGTTGGCTAGAATGAAGCTAAAAATTTTACAAGTAGGATGTTTTCTTAAAATTAAATTTTTTCAAAACTTGTGAGTTAGACATGAATCTAAGGGCCTGTATAAAAATCTCAGCGAAAGAACATTTTGAGACAGAAACAAAAGAAAATAGAAAGAAATTTTAATTCCAAGGTGTTTACCTTGCTCATTTCCGGAGAGAATGGCAAAATTGATGCGACCATTCAAAGTACTAGGATCATCTTTGTCGGATCCTTTAAGAATAAAAACAGGTTCTCCAATATCATGGAACTCTGTGACTGAAATGCATCCATCAGGGATAGAGTCGAATTCCGGAGCATTGTCATTTTCATCAATGATCGAGACACTGAAATTACAAAGCAGTTTACTTAAAAACCAATCCAATGATTGCAGGTATATGCCACAAAGCAGTGTCAGCAAAAATTGTAAAGAGAGATCATGATTGTAATAATGTCTACCGTCATTTTCAAATTGAAGGAATTTGGAGGGAAATTCATTCGCAAAAAATTGGGTGGCCACAGATACTTAGCATTTTAATCCTCTGACTTTTCAGATTTTCCCTGACCAAATTACAAAAGTAATATGGCTTTGAAGCAAATACAGGGTGATAAGAAGGAATTTTAAGATTCTACAATCAAAGTACAAGCTGAAGTTGTGTGCCAGAACATGTGAAAATTTTCCATCCTGAAAACGTAATTTTTCCCTGACTTTAGGGTTCTTGTGTTCTCTTCCCTCAATCAAATTTTTTTCAGGAAAAAAATGTCTTTGCTTTGCTCTGTTTCCAGGTTTCCCCCGACACTGCCAACTGGATAAAAATGTAAATAAAGGAAGTTCTTCCGCCATTATTGAAGTCATTAAAGAAAATATTTGATGTTCATTGATGGCTTGCATGATTGCAGGAATTTTTGATACTTTCAGTTTCGAGGAAATTTTTTGAGACAAAAGGAAAATACTCACGCTAGTTGTTTGAATGCATTTCGGCTTTCTCCGCTTGCGTATCCAAATTGATAATTATCCCACGCTTCAACGATAAGATTATACGACGATGTTTGTTCACGGTCCAACTTATCAGCTACCGTTAATATACCTGTATTTGGGTCGATGGCAAATTTTCCCTGGAATTCAGAGCAGAAAATAAAATTAGAGTTTCATACCTACAGTGAGACACACAAAAACATGTTCCGTTGACACCGCAATTGTTGACACCATGCTGCTCAAATTTTTCAATAATGTATTGTGCACTTAAAAATACTCATAAAATTAAGGCTCTTTAAATCTTCTTTCTTTTGATTTTAATTTTATTGTGAAAACCAAAACCGCTTGAAATTTTACAGGCATAAATCAGTTTGGACTTTACAGTGGGCTTGGAATAAAAAGAAATGCTGGTTCCAATACCCCGTCCAAATATGAAGGTCAAGCAAACCCCTTCATCATCAGTAATTATTTCATTGACTTGCAGAAAAAATGAACTTACATGAGATGATATTCTGTCTAGGAGATAAGTGATCCTCCCATAGTCACCGACATCAGCGTCTCTAGCTTCAATCGAAGCTACCTCCGTACCTGAAACAAACCATGATCATTGGAAAATTACATTTAAGGATTGATGATTCACACTGAAGAGAAGAGGAAGTATTTATGTTGTAACTTATGAACTTCAGAAACTTTTTCCTATGATAGGGAGTTTTTACAAACAAGAGGAAGGTACTTGATAGATTAGCAATGGGATGACGTAGTATTCAGAGACACTCTGTGATGATGTACAGAGAATGCGGAGGGATGATGAAAAGTAAGGGGAAGAGAAGTGAATTTTTGCATCATGGTGCATTGAAATGGGAAGGAGCGTTTGGAAGAATATTCCACAAACATTTCAAGCAATTACACTGGTTGTTCTCATTTGATAAAATTAAATGGGAGCAGAGATTTTGAAACACCGCAGCCAAGAAATGTATTTTCACAGTTTCACCATTGATAAGCAAGTATAAGCATTCCAGGAGAATTAAAAGGTCAGAGAACCTCAGTGAGCCTTAGTTTGAAGACTTAATTGGAGTATCTACTAAAATTTCATTTCGGATTTACCTGATTTTTTACCCAAATGAATTGACACTCGTTTGACTTTACAAACCAACATCTTTGATGAATTGGATTGAATATTCCACTTTTGCACGTACTAAACTGCATGCAGTTTAGAAATGCTTGATGCGCTCAGAATTTCCTGATCCATGACCGATTTTCCTGATATATTCCGGTTGTCACTGATGGTGACACTGGACTGGTGGTGATGGCCCTGTTGATAGTTCTACAACAGGTACTCATGATCTAAACAAATTTATCTTTAGTGCACTTACCAATCGGTGTATTTTCTGGAATATTGAGGAGACCAGTGGTGTCAACAAAATAAGGATTGTTATCGTTTTCGTCCAGAACTTGGACGAAAACATCGACAAAACTGGAGCGAGGAGGCACACCATTATCCGTTGCTTTGACACTCATGTTCAACCACGGTGTCGCTTCTCTATCTACCTTCCCACCCACTACGAGCTCCCCTGTTTCTGTGTCTAAGTGAATCAGATCTCGTACTGCTGCGGAGCCTGCCAACACATACATCAACTTTAAAAATCTTAAAAATAATAAAAATTTATGCGGATTATGTTTAGAGGAGACAAAAAAATGAAACAAAATTGTTGAAAATATTCAATGTTTGGACTAATTAAAAATGAAAATTAATTAATTAATATTAAAAGAACAATTTTGGTCCTTGTCTATTGTTTTTTTCTTTTTTCACAAAAAACTCGCATTGCTTGTTTCTTAAAAATATTGATGATTCCATGGTTTATTTTAGTTGCGATCCGTTCTCTATCATACTATTGATCATAAATAAAAAGTAATTTTTTAAAGCGCATTTTCAAATCGAAATTAAATGAGGCTCACCTTCAAGACCATACTTGATAGTTCGGTTCTTATCAGGGTCAGTCGCTAGGACGCTAACGATAGGTGTTCCTTGTTGACTGTTTTCAGGAATTGACCGTCGGTAGAATGGTTTCTTGAACGCAGGGCTGTTGTCGTTTTCATCCTCCACAACAATATTGATTATGGCTGAAAACAAAATGGACAATTTTTATTTCTTCAAAGAAATATCAATCATTATTTAAGTACATTCAACCTTAAGATTCTATCTGCGTCAAGTGGAGAGCACATACTAGTTGAAGCACAAAACTAGATTAGCAATAAAATCCAAAATTAGCAGACATTTTTAATTTAGAATATTTGGCATTAATGCAGTGACAGAACTATCGGCAGATACCAGGTACCTGGCAAAACTATAGGTTATTCCTATTGTCTCAGAGAGTGCCACTGTCACTATAATCAAGAAACTGTCTTTCATGTGTATAATTTTTGGATGAAAAATTACGACCATTCTCTCTTGAAACCAAGACAGTCATGATGATTCTGCATTACTTTTCTTTGTCTACTTAGTATCAATGGATAATATGAAATTCAATTAAGATTCTTCAAGCCATTATTAATGGAAGTAAAAACCATGTATTACCTGCTGCTGTTTGTTTGCCTCTTGTTGCTGCCAGGTCTTCAACATGAATCGCCAGACGAATATTTTCAACTTTCTCTCGGTCGAGTAGCCGCACAACTCGAAGTAAACCATCCAATGGGTTGAGGTGAAATGCATTTATAAAATCAAATTCAGAACCTTTGACGATGGTGCCTTCTTCACTTCGAGCTTCAGAATTTTCAGGATCTATATGGTATCGAAGAACAGGCTTCTCATCTGGATCTATGGCAACAATCCGATGAATGAATGTGCCCACCTGCATATAAATGAGTGACTTTAGTTGAAATTGGGATCATTGAGGTGCGTGGATAATGTAATTTACAGGGTTGAGATCAGTTAGACATTCAGTTAAAAAGGTGCATTAAGGATGAAACTTTACAATTGAGGCCTAAAATTATATTATTTGTTCACTCTGAGGTAGTTAACTACATTTTAATAGTTTCTAGAAAGTGTTAAGTGATGAGATATTAAATAAACAAGTATAGAATTTTTGTCTACGTACTGAAACAGCTTTGGTGAGATTACGAGAGACGCTACTGAATGACAAATACAAATTAGCTAATATAATAAAACTAATAATGAATAAATAGACTAGTGAATTGTCTTACTGCAAAAGAAATTCTGAAAGATGGCCATGAGATAGTAATTACAAGGGTCATCCAAAAAGTAAGATTCCCTACCTCGTATCTTCCAAACAAAAAGAGATAAATCAAATCTGTAAAAATTGAAATATTAAACATACTCTCAGCTTTAAAACAAGCTCTAGTTTTTGAAAATTGGTAGAGGGATTCGCGAGAAAACTCGATTTTACTGAATTGCGCGGTGAGTCGATTATTTCAGACGCGGTATATTGCCGCTAAGTATCTCATCAAAAGTGAATTCAACATTTTTTATTGAGTAGACCTTACCTCACTTTTTGACATAGTCTCCACCTCCGTTTTGAAATTTTTGGTATCAATATAGCCGCTTCTTGATGCTTCCAGAGTAGAAGCTCTTGTCTCTGCACCGAAACCAGTCATTGACAGCGCTCTACCTTTCCAAATCAGTTCCTTTGCACAGGAAAGTTTTTCCACATTCTCCATACTTTCTCGATTAAGCCTAATGTAATTTTCTTTTGTTCCCTGGCCTGAAAACTTCCTCTGTGGAAAGCGGTTTCCAACTGATTCAGAAGGGTAGAGCGCTGTCAATGACTGGATTCGGTGCAGAGACAATAGCTTCTACGCCAAAAGCATCAAGAAGTGGCTATATTGATACCAAAAATTTCAAAACAGAGGTGGAGACTATGTAAAAAAGTGAGGTAAGGTCTACTCAATAAAAAATGTTGAATTCACTTTGGATGTGATGCTTAGCGGCAATATCCCGGGTTTGAAATAATCGACTCTCCACGCATCGTGAATCCGGTGTAGGCGACAGGAGGTTGTCTCAGTAAAATCGAGTTTTCTCGTGAATCCTTCGACCGATTTTCAAAGACTAGAGCTTGTTTTAAAGCTGAGAGTATGTTTAATATTTCACTTTAGACCGATTTGATTTATCTCTTTTTGTTTGGAAGATACAAGGTAGGAAACCTTACTTTTTGGTTACCCTCGTAGAAGATTCATGGGTAACATACCCCTAGCTCCAAATGACTAAGTTAATGTTTTCCTCATTCTATTTTGAGAGGTAGAGATCTTTTGATTTTTTTTTTTATCACATGTAGGCGATGCCACTTTTTAATCGACGATAAGTCAATTTTACAGGAATTTTGGTTATGAGGTTCTTATTTACAGCGAAGGTTACAGAAAAATGGAGTAAAATAACCAGACCTGAGTATTTTCTCGCACAGTTATGGCTCCAGGATCTAAGATAACTGGGGGTTTGTTGTTCACATCTTCTATAGAAATATGCGCTTGGACTGTTGTTTGACGTTGCTCAGAGCCAATTCCACCATCCAGAGCAACGATGGTCAGTGTATACTCCTTTGTTTTTGGGTCTGTGCTATCAGGATCTAGCGAGGCCCCTTTTGCAACACTGATGACGCCTGTTGAAGCATCGACAACAAACTTATCGCTAGCCCCATTTTGAATTCGGAACACAATCACATTGTTTGGAGAAGAGCCATCACTGTCTTTGGCTTGGACCTGCAAAAGTAAAAATAAGGGTCACTGCATTTCATAATAATAGAGAACGAGACGAAACATACACTTCTAAAAATTTAACAATAATTCTATGATCAACTTTTGGTCAAATTCACGTAGAGTAAAGAGAAATTATTTCCAAAACTACAAAAATTGAGAAATAGAACACAATTAAGGTGTGATTAATTGGAATACGCTATTTACAAGGCCTGTATATAAAAAATTTAAATGTATTGGAGAATTTATCAGTGTTATTTTTGTAAAATTTGAGAACATACTTGTAAAACTGATGTTCCGCTTGCAAGATCTTCAGGAATAGCTGCACCGTAGGAGCTGCGGTCAAAAACGGGTGCATGATCATTGGTGTCTTGGATGTAAACCGTAACGACAACATCTGAGCTCAGTGGTGGAGAACCGTGATCTGTAGCTCGGACTAGGACTTGGACTGCTCGAACTGGCTTGATGGATTCATCATCTTGAAAAGCGGCAAGTTCTTCAAAGTCGATTGCTTTGACTGGTTTAAAGGTTCCGGTTGCTGGGTCTATTGTAAAGTTGGCAACAGGTGTATTTGTTTTCACGATGGTGTATGTGATTCGGCTGTTATCCGTGCCTGCAATATGAAATATGTACGTTAATTTCTGCTTAACTACAAGCTCATAGTTAATAATTCTCAGTCTGATGAATGATAACAGTTCCAACTTTATCCTAGGTTTACACGAGCCATTCGGATTGAGATCCTAATGGATCATCAGGAATGGTGCAAAATCAAGCATTATAACACACAATTTCTCTTCAATATTCACGTAAAAAATGATGAAAATATCAACAATTATGTAGTTCAAATAATAAATCAGGACTTATCGACACCTGTGTTTGTTACTTAAAACTTTCCGCTTGCCAAAAAACCAACATCTACTTGAGGGAGTGACGTCAGCGCGGTGAACGGAGATGGCTGCCTTTTGTACAGCTCCGGCTAAATTAGTGTTTTTGTGAAAATTTTTGTGAAAATGTGTTTGGAAAGTGGCTGAAGTGGTTCGTGTTGGGCAGGCCTACGTTTTTTATCTTGGATTCAGCGCCAGGTTGTACCTTTCCGCTATTTTTTGGACTTTAATTTTTGAGCTGGCCCGTCGGCCATTTTGCGTGGCTTGCCACGTAAGTTTTTTGTGCAGGAATTTATTTTTTGGCTTTTTGTTTTTGATTAGGAAAGGATTTGTCAACTTTTAAGATTGAATTTTATTTTAATTTGTTTGGAATTTATTTTTTGTCGCCTGAGCGTGCGAGACTAGCTGGCTCGTCGAATGGTTTTTTGGTCCACACTGCGACTAGGGCGCACCGAGTAGGCGAGTGTTCCTTCTTTGTGGGCGTCGTTTTGATTGCGGCCTTGTCCGTATATCGGTGGTGAGTGAGTTGCTGTTTTGGGGGTTCTCTGCGGGGGGTGGGGTGCATGTGGGCTCCATTTCATTCATACTACACCGTGGAGGCAACACGTTAAAACAAGGCAGTGAAGCTTTCATCTCATCTTTGCCTACGTGTGCTCCAGGTCCCCCCTCGTTGGGGGCCTCTAGGGCGGCATTCCGCCATTGATTCGTTTGTAGCTCCTCGTATGCTTGGGAGATAAGAACTCGCGTCATAATCTGATAACCGTGGTCGTTGAATCCGAGTGTAGTTGAACTTGAATTGTGGGCAGTGATTAAATAAGGTGAATAACTTTTTGCCTGCTCGCACGGCGCTGCTTCGGTCCGTTGCTCTGTTTTTATTTTTATTTTGCTTCAGCCATCTCCGTTCTTTCGCCGCCCGTGTTGCCGTTGCCTCCGTCTCGGGGGGGCACTGGCCTCGGCCGGTGCCCTCCCGGGACGTTAAAAAGTAGGACGATTTGTTGGACGTTTTTTTCTGGGTCCCGCTGGTTAGTTTCTTTCTGATTTTTTTTTTAGTATAGTTTTTATTTCGGCGAGTTTATTTTTTCGGTTTCGGTTTTTAGTCAACAGTGGGGCCTTCGCGGCGCAGGGATCCTCCCTTGGATTCGGGTCTGACGCACCCGCGCACCCGAGTTGGTCGGGGGTTGTTCGCTAGTGAACCTCGACCCCTTCTTCCCCTTTCGTGGCCCTCAACAGGCGCGGCGGGTTGTTGTTGTTCGCGATCGGGGATACCTTCCTTTTGGCTTCCCCTGATGTTGCCGCTCCTCTGTGCCTGCGTCCTCGATTGTTAGCCCATATCCTGTCTGATCCACGGCGTACAGATCAAGCGGAATCGTTGACGTGTCCGGCATCGTGATTCCCGCGCCCCCCAGGATCCCGGAATGCGGACCTTGAGTCCGCG